GGCGCTGGGCTCTCTGCAGAGTAACTCTTGGTCTTGGACACCCCGCCGCGCCTTGGGGGATTGGTGGACTTATTTATTTGTTTTCCTTGGGGTTGCAGGGGTGAGGGCCCTTTTCCTACTTTGGTGCCCACTTTGATTTTATCCCTAACTGAGGGGGCAGCCCTGCGGGGAAGCCAGGCGTGGGCGCCTCCGCACACGCTGCATGCCACACGCGTGAGCTGAGTGACCGGAGCCGTGGGGGAAGGAGGCAAATTCTGAGCCTTTCCAGCCCGTACTTTGGCACCTACTTTGGTTCTCTGTCTCTCCTGTTCCTCGTTATTGTCCGTCCCCTTCTCTCACAGACAAATGGTTTGTGAAAGCCAGCGGGGTTTTCCCCCCCCGGTAAAAGAAGACGGCATGTGTGCAGATATACGGTATGCTGTGAATGAGGCGGTAGGGACACAGCGATTTGGAAGGTCTGCAGTGTTACTTGAAGATGCATCCCTAGAACAGACTCCTTTGCCCAACTTTTATCTTTTTCTCTCTTCCCCTTGCACTGCACTGGAGGCATCTCTACTGGACGGACAGACCCACCTAATTGGTCACTTTCTTTAGCAACCTCTTCTGTTAATCCTATTGATTTCTTATTTATGAGCCCAGATGAGAAGCTACAAAGGAAGCCAAAGTTTTTTTCTTAAAAAAAAAAAAAAAGTCTGTATATTGTCAAATGACTAGTGAGTATTTCTGATACTCCCTTTACAGTTTCCTCCATTTTTTTAAGAAATACTTTGGAAGGCTTTGTCCTGATGAGGTTTTTTTGTTTGTTTGGCAGATTTGTTTTCCTTATGCCAGAAATGTCAACTCCTGTTAAACTTTAGCAGCATTTTCTGGAAAAGACAAATTGAAAAGAAAACAGTAAAAAAGAAAAAACCACCCCACATTATTTTACAGTAATCCTTAGTTGGGGATATGTGGGCTGGAAAAGGTTTCCTTGGCCTGTTGCCATCCTTGATTTGATGGCTGATTGATCGCCTGTCATCTGGCTGCCTTTGATCTATTCATTCCCGATAAACATCAATAAATCACTTGCCATGGTAACGCCAGACTCAGTGACGTCACGTGCGGCCTGTCAACTCTGTCAGTGCAACTTCAGGGGCTTCTGGCTAGATGTGCCACACAACCACATGGACAAGTATTTTGATAGGCGTAAAGCTCACATAGGTGGAGAAACGGGATCTGTTGTAATTGGGGACAGATGAACTATTTGGGGGGAGCAGTAAGCAGGCAACCATAACTTGCCTATTTAAAAAGGAAGGCTCTGTATTGAGAGGTTGGTTGCAGAAGTTTTCAAGAGACTCCAGCAGTGTTATTGCTAGTGCATTTTCAGTTGTACCTATAGCAACTTCAAAAAGGTAGTTTCGCAACTTGGTAGAGCGTTATCAGAAGATGGGTATTCAAAAATCTGACAGCGCGTTCACGCTATGTGCCAAGTTCTCAAAGTGGCGTGGTTTGAATTTAGTAAACAGCAAGTGATTCAATGAGTACTACAAATTGTAAATAACGCCGTTCCCGTTTCCTTCCTTCCCGTCTTTAACATATATGTATTTATTTAGTACTTTTGAAATAGAAAAGTAGCAGTCTTACCTCTATACTAAACAGTTAGAAAGTTTGGAAAGTTTTGAAGTACCAGAGCGATACGATCAGGCAAACAATATTGCAGCCAATACTTCATGATAATATTCTGAAATTCTGGACCATGCCATCAAATAACACTTTCCACAAATTAACTAAAACCGTGAGCTCTTCCTAAGCTGTAGAAAACTACACTATTCTGTAACATTAATTTAGTTTTGCAGAATCAAACTCTTCCAAGTATTTGACATATTCTTCGAATGAGTGTGCTGTATGTTGGGCTTTACTTAGGCTGGAAGAAAACGTTTCTGCCCTGAACACACACGTTCTGAGGTATCTTTCTCGCTCTCTCTTCCACTCACTGTCTCCCTCCTTTCCAAGTGAATCATCGATGATGTGTGAGCTATCTTTTATATTTGGTAGAAGTGTAATCTCTTTAAACTTTTATCTTTTTGATTATCACATTAAACATTTAGTATCATTGCTTCCCACTGAAATGCTCTTTTATTGGCCACGTTGGAAATGTTGCTTTTTCTAATAGCAGTGTAAGCACAAGAATTTTTTTAACACCTTAGAAACAGCTAAGAAATAACAGGTTAGTTAAGAAATATTCATTACAAAAACTTGACTGCAGGACTAATAGGAGATGGAAGAATGGTTTTGCTCTATCAAAATGACCCGTCAAAACGACTTTGTTTCATATTTGATTTAATTGTCTCTCTCCTGACAGGCACATTCATCAATAGCTTAATGGTCAATCAGAAGTTGGCAGAGTGAGTGCTTTCATTCTTTCCCATACACTAGCTTTGGCTTTACTTTATCAAAATGCCTCTGCCTAATGGATATGGGGGATGTAGAATGACTGAAGGGCTACTTATTTGAGAAGAGTGAAAAAAACAAGAACATTTGTGCTGTTGATAAGTGCATGAAGATAAATAAGTGAGCTGTATGAGGGGTTTTATTTTAAGACAGAAGAAACTTGCAATTTTTTTTCTTCTTTTTGGCTTCAGAGCTGTGAGTTATAAGGTTCATGACTGCTTTTGTGGCATACTGAGAGTGATGACAAATTGATTGCTTGGTACTGGGAAAGAAAAAAAGGTGGTGGTGGGGGGAGAATTAAAGATGTCTGCTGATTGGTAACTCAGGAAATCCAGTCCCCAGCAACCTTGAGAATACTCGAGAATTTTTTTTCTCCAAACTGAAAGGTCCGCTCAGCCATAAAAAAAGAAAAGTTGTTTTGCCAGCTTCATTAGTGTTCACCTAATTAGCTGTAAACCTGATGGATTCCTGACAGCTTTAATGATTGGAGATGACAAGCTCCACGCAGTGTCATCCAGCAGAATTAGGTTTGCAGCTAGTTTGATGTAATCAAGTTGATATTACACAGTCCTGGTTGCCTTTAGTTGTGCATTAACTCAATTTTCTGCTGCAGGTGACAAATGGGCTTTGGTACCTGGATAATCATGTCATAGGAATTAGGGCCTTTTTAATGGTCTGGAGTAGAATAACAACAACAAAGAACTCTCAGCAGCACAGAGCTCGCAGACATAACAGACAGGTGCACAAATTCTTTATGTCTAGCCCAAGTGTTAACACCACACTGTAGAAGACTAAAGCTGTCTCTAAGAATCAAGAATCTGTAAAAATGATAATTTCAGTTTGTTTGTTTCAAGACTCAGGTGAATATCGTAGATAAATTTGGGGGGGAAAAGGCAGAGATCACAGTATGGGGATTTTTTATTTTTTATTCTTCACCTGTGAAAGCAAGAAGATGATCAGAATTACAATTGGTGCTCCAGACTTCTGTCCTTTTAAGTCAGAAGGAAGAAAATAT